AATTGCCTCGTAAGAGGATTTTATTAAATAGGACTTGAGCTGTCTTTTTCTTGTTTCTAATGGCATTTTTCTTTGTTTACCGTTTAGAAGGTATATTTTGTTATTCTGATAATCGTTTGGATTTCGGTGTCATGTTTTATGTCAGATCTAACAAGAATACCCTGGCATTTAAAATTCTGTATCTATACTTAATGGTTGATCTCTGAGAGTTGATCCCCTTCAGCTATGGTTTAATCAAGAGTAGGACTAATCTCTCTTTCATATTTTTTAGTCTACCGTTCATCCTTGCTTTGAATATTGTTGGCACATCTGTCCTACTTCTCCTGCTATATATTCAGAGATTCTTGATAAAATCCGAAGAAGAACCTTATTGATCCTGACCTATCATCTCGCTTTCAATCACTTTTTACACCCACCCTAACGTAGCTTTGCCTTTTCTATAAATGCTTTCATGGTAATCGTTCTGATAAAATTTCCGCTGTGGTACCTAGACTATAAATTTAAGCGCAGTACTAGATTGGCGGTAAGGTCTCTTTATTTTACAGTTGAAATGACTGGATTTAACCGTAACTTCTATGCTAACAGTTTCTTCTATCGCACTTCTCGCATGTAAAACTCTTTTCTGGCGTTTTCTTTCTCTGTCAACTTTGACCTTCAAAAAATTTATATGCAATCTACATCATGTTATCTTCTTAATTTCTGTTCTTTTATTATTCTCTTTCCATAATAGTATTGTTCTTTCTTTCCCCAGAAACTCCAACACTCAGTAAATCAATTGCGTCTTAGTGGCTTCATTGCCTTGCTTGGGGTGCAATGATTAAAAAATATTTATTTGCCAACACTCATAATTGCAGTTTAAGTTTAAGTATGTGGTATATATAATTTGAGAGCAAACACCAGAAAATCAGAAATGAATCATTGCTTCGTTAGAGATTTTTAACTTGCACCTCAGTTTGTGAAATCAATGATAGGATTTAAGACGTTTGCAATGGTTCTGTATAAACACATTGTAAAAACCCAGAGCAAACCTTTGAATTAGACGGAATTATATATATATATATATATATATATATATATATATATATATTCGCTTGAGGATGAAATGGAATTAATGTCTTTAATTTAATTACAACATTAAATTCGAAGCTTTTAGCTTCCATTTTTGAAACATGGTTAGATCTGTTTAGCGAAAAAATACATATTTTAAATCAATTAATTTATAATATTAATGCTCTGTAAATTTACATTGAGTACTATTTTGTAAAAATAAAAATATCTATAAGAACACCGGATTATATATCTTACTGTTCTTTATATATATATATATATATATATATATATATATATATATATATATATATATATATATATATATATATATATATATATACAAGGTGTAATAAACCTTAATACCTATTCTTCTTTAATTACAACAATGTTTATGGTAAGAATTACAAAGGTATTATTAATGCATTACTCTTCGAATTGAGTTCTCCGGGACGCTGGCGTATCTTATAGAAAATACATTAAAATTTACCTTTTTCTCCGCTTGTGAAGATGGCCTAGTTTCTGTCGGGTTTCGATTCTGGCTTGAAGTAATCGGACGTCCAGCCACACTGAAGAGCTGTGAAACAGACCGTCTGTGGATGGCACTATATATATATATATATATATATATATATATATATATATATATATAGTCATAAGATGTGCCATATTTATGGGATAAAGTGCTCAATATCAGAGATAGAGTGTGTAAATATAAAAAAGAGAACATAGAAGTCAACACTTAGAGGCGACTGTCTGATGCAATCATAGGCCATTTTTAAATATTAGTGACCTGAGTTTGTCCGACGATCGCAAATAGCGTGAAACCCAGGGTCATAAACTCCATGAATCAACCAAATATGTTAGCTCTATCTCTGATATTGATCGCTTTCTAATAAGTACCGCGCATATAATATATAAATAATTATATATATATATATATATATATATATATATATATATATATATATATATATATATATATATATATATATCCAGGAAAGTAGCCTACCGGACTGGTTATCTGATGATTGTGTGCAAGCACATGAAACTGATAGTAGTGTCCAGTCACTGCCAACCTGGTTCTTAATTAATATTTAATTAATATTAATACATATCATATTATTTTAATACCTATACTCGGGCGTGTGAAAAAAATGTATAATACAATTTGTAAATAAAAATATATTTGAACAAACCGATATCAGGGAAAAAAATTATTATGTCTATTATGTAAATAATGTACATAATACCTCATCTCAGAAATATAGACAGATAAAAATGCCAAAACGTCATAATATCGACACTGAACACGCCCACAACGCGCAGACCGTGATTGGAACAACCCCATGTCTATAGATACGTACGTATATATAAAAGTTCCCTCTTCAGTTAAATGCATCCTTTGTAATGGTTAACGGAATAGCTGAAAGCGATCGGATATATAACTTTTGTCCAGTTTTTATACGTTTTATGTCGAGGTAAAGATTGGTTCGGTTTGGTTTGGTTCGGTTTGGTTTATTTTGTTTTGCGGCATATCAACATAAATGGATTTTTTAATGCCTACAACATTTTCTTATTGCTGGTGATATTTTTACCAAAAATGTATTGCTGGTAATAATGTATTTCTGGTAATAATTTTTTACAAAATATATTTCTGATATTAAAACCTATTTTTACATTTACATAGGGTTTTGACTCCATTTTAGGGGTTAACTATTTGCCCATGGCTGGGAAACTAACAGGTGGTACCATCCTGGGTGAGGGTGGACCTGGGAACACCAGCAATTAAGAGGTGGTTCCACGCTTCTCAAAAGACTCCTGATCAGAAGCCATTGCTATTGGGCGTAGTGTATCGTCTAAATCAGGACTCGGATGTAGTTTATCGTCATACCCAGGACCCGGATGTAGTTTATCGTCATACCCAGGACCCGGATGTAGTTTATCGTCATACCCAGGACCCGGGTGTAGTTTATCGTCATACCTAGGACGGACGAGAAGCGAAACTACTTTTAAGAACGCAAGAACAATTGAATAACATTATTAATCGCAATACCTTGTCAGTCTTCTTCAACAAAACGTGTAAATAAGAGGGGTTACTGCCGAAATACACATACACACAAACACCCACACACACACACACACACAAAAACACACACACACACACACACACATATATATATATATATATATATATATATATATATATATATATATATATCATAAATTTATTTGAAAATAAGTAAATTTATAATATGTATGCTCTGTAGATTTGCATTGAGCACTGTTTTATAAAAATATTAATAAGAACACCAGATTATATATCTTACTGTTCTTTCTCTTCATTATAATATTTATATGAGCAGATATGAATGAACGTGAGAGATTCATGGAAGATGGAAGTTTAAAGACAGTAAATTCGACCTTGCTAACCGAACTCTCCTCTGTGGCCGAAACGGTTAAATGCACGTCAAGCTAATTGACAGTTCCGTATAGGATACAGGTTCGAATCCTGTCGGAGGACGGATATTTTCTGGGAACATTTCTCGGGCATTAAATGTTGTTTAATACTGTTTATTATAAACAGAGCATTTATTTAAATAATTGTATCTATAAAAAGAATGTATAAAGATAAAAATGTCTTAAAAATAATTGTCGGACTTTGTCCAATTCATTTACACACACACACACACACATATATATATATATATATATTGTGTGTATTTAGGCAGCATATTTTCATTTATACACGTTTCATTAAATAATATAGACAAGTGTTGTCTATTTATTTTATGTAAAATTTTTTCGTATCTTCTGATAAGTTTGGTAACATTATCATTAACCGAAAAAAGAAATTCACAATATTTATCCATTATTTTTTAATAAAATCTAAGCTTTCGGCTTACTCAAGCCATTATCAAAGATGTAAATACAAACATATCAAACAATATACGGACACGACAGTGATGATATAGTCTGTCATTGTTTTGTTTACATAGTGAATCACTAAGCAACGATGAACACGCGCATATAAGACGCTAGAAGCGAAAATCGCACCGCATCTCATGACGTCACACATGACTACACGAGAGTGAATTGGAGAATGAAATAAGGAAAGCCGTTGGTATAACCAATGGCTTCTGTTACCAATTATTGAAATTATAGACATTTAAGAATATTATATATATATATGTATATATGGGTGGGTTGTTGAGTGTGTCTGAAACCTAATTAGCCATCAAGATCCCGTTCAAATTTGTTTGAATGAAATCTACCTACAACGTTTGTCTGAAGCTTTATCAACGTGTTGGCCCTTTACGTATGTGATATCGAACATGAGCACACTATTATGAAAAACAACTTGCTAAAATTCATGATAGTTTTTCCTTGATTACTTTGAACCCCTTTCTAATCGTTATCAGGAACCTTAATATGATACAGAAGAAATCATTGTGTTCATCCTGGCATTTTTCAGAAACTCTCTCATTCTAATTTAATTATACGCGTATCGAATACAAGTGACTTTTTATGATTTGAATGATGTCTAATGGCTGTATAACCAATTCTTTTAATTAGTACGTTAGAAGCAAAAAAAAAAATCAAACTGCTAAATAGAATTGTTTGTTTTGTAACACGATCTAAAAGATTTCACACAAGCAGAAGGATATCTGTTTAATGTTGGCTTTAATGATGGCTTCTTTTGTATGAAATGTGGTTTCAAGTGTGGCTTCAAGTATTTTCCGTTCTTTTTCTTTAGTGATATACAGTAATTTAAATATTTCTCCTTTCTTTTATTACGTATAGTATTTTTGGATGTTCCGCCATTAAAAGTGTCGCGACAGGAAGAGAATTACTAAATGATGCTCTATGGATGAATGAAGATGAAGGGGGAAGTAAGGGCATATTATGAAGATACGTCAAATAGATAAAGGTTGACACACGTCTTGACGCGGCTTACGGCCATAACAAGTTAAAAAAACCGGTTCTAGTCCGATCACCGAATATAAACAAGATCGGGTCTGATCAATACCTAGATGGGTGATCACTTGGGAATACAAGGTACTGTAAGATTGGGTGTGCGGCTGGTGTAATGGGTAACTGCTAGAAATGAAAATCAGAGATCCGAGTTTGAATTCCAGTCTTCTTCGTTACATTCACGCGAATACCCTTGGGAAAAATACGAATTGATCTCTTTTCCCTCCCCCATCTACAGATTAAAAAAATTCTATGAAAATCATTATTATCTCAAAATGTTTGCCAATACGCTCGCAAAAGAAAAAGCTATTCTTGCAATCTAAATATATGTTTCTGATTGAAATAAACTACAAACGGTTGACAAACCGTAAAAATCAAATAATGCCTGAGCAGGTGTGTCCAACAGAGATTGTCTAGCCGCCCTAGTAAACTCGGATAATGGCGGCTTGCCACCGTACACACACACACACACATATATATATATATATATATATATATATATATATATATATATATATATATATATATAGAGAGAGAGAGAGAGAGAGTTCTAATGGAAGGACAGAAATTTTTTTATTAGTTGTAATTTGTATTATTAGTTCTAAAATAAAATATATTACTCCTTAACTATTTGTCATGATGTTAAAAATATTAAAATTAAAAATATTTTTTGAAATCTAAACACTTAATTCACCACCCAACGTTAATTGTAAAATTTAAGGGAAAAATTTAAATGGGTATAAATATAAATGTGTGTGGAGATACGTAATTGTATGTGTAAGTATTTGTATGTGCATATATACCAGTGTATAACGATATATGTGTATGTGGTTATATGTGTAATTGCACATCTACACGAACGTATGTATATGTGATTTTTACGTAAATATGTATATGGTATATGTATGAAAAAACATTTTTTTTTTACTATTACCTTCAAATCTTACTCCATCTTGATTTGAAAACTAAACCTTAATTAAGAAATATTACCAATCTAAAAATAGCTATAAATTAAATTCAGGAATTAGACTCAAACTGATAATGTTTTTAACTTAACAGTGATTCACAATATTAAAATATTAGTATTAGTCAACTTTTATTTTTTTTTATTATTGTTGCAGAGTAATATAGTATTCAGCTGATATTAAATCCCTAATTTATTTGTAGAGAAGTTGAATATTTAAATAGCTAATAAGCATTAAATTAATTTCTTTGTGGAGTTTTTTAAACATTTAAATTACTATCAAACGTTGAAATCTGTTTTTATCTAAATTGCTAAAGCTATATCACCTCTTTTCTTCCTCCGAAAACCCTAAGTACATCACTTTTCTCTTTACTTCACCTTTTTTCTTTTTCCATTTATTCTTCTTTTCCTTTCCCCATATCATTTCAGTTGAGTTGACCGATTAAATTAGGTCAATGTCTGATCCTTACCCCGCTCCTTCCTCAAAATTAAATATTAAAATAAAAAGAAATATAAAAATAAATTTTAAAACTCTCCTTTCTCTCTCTAAACTTGACCATGTCTCTCACACCATCCCTCACTACCTTCTATGTCAACTTATATAAACTTAATACTGCCCGTCAAAAGTGTAAATTTGTATTTCATTTTTCGTTTCACATTTTGAAAGTGATGTCTGAAGATCCAGCAAAAATAAATGTATCTGGTGAAATAATTTATTACAATGGAGCCTTAAAGTGGACTGTTTTTCTTTAAATTATATATATATATATATATATATATATATATATTGAAGATATATGTTTAGCTGGCATTTACACACTATGATGGAATGGAAAACTCAACAAAATCTGCTTGTCCTGTGAAGCTGTATAAATCACAGGTGGGCTCTGTGGGTGTTGAACAAAGACAGATGTGCCTGAACAGGCGTCCTCAACAGGGATTGGCTACCCGTCCTAGTAAATAAGCATACTCGAAAAATAGCTGTTTGCCACCACACACACACACACACACACACACACACACACACACACACACACACACACACACACATATATATATATATATATATATATATATATATGTTTATCTGAATTTCCACGCTATGATGGAATAGAAAACTCAGCAAAATCTACTTGCATTGCCCTGTGAAGCTGGGTTACCCTCTGTTAATCTTAGTAATAGTTCGGCACCTAACCTATGTCTTATCCAAGGGCCGTTAAGCTTTTATATTTTTACAACTTGGCAGTAGCATTTGTATAAGTATGTTATCGAATTTCGGTAAATCTAGTAACAATATGTAGAAGTTATGAAATACCAAAAAGCAAAATTCTTTAAAAATATTCCAAGTAGTAGGAATTCAGTTAAGTTTTTCATGACTGAAAAAAAAAACATTTATGGCACAAATGTTGAATTCATCATAAAATTAAGAATATCAGAGTCAGTAAATTCTAAACATTTCAAATGGCAGCAACGACCAAAATGGATGGTCCAAGAGGATAAAAATTCATAAAAAGATGTTGACTTTTCACGCAGAACCTTAATAAAAAGTTTAGGAAGAAACATCCATACATTCTAAATCTATAACAGTTTTCAAAATGGGAAACCCTATTTTGTTGTAAAACTCTTTTACGAGAAAATTTACATGTTTCAACCGAGAGGAACGCTAACTGTTCGATCAGTGAATTGCGAATATTTCCTTATAATGAGACGGCTTTTCTATACATTCCTTCTTTAATTGCCATGCGTTCGGGCGATCATGTTTCTATTTCCATTCATGAATGACATGACAAAAAATCGCCTCTCTAGGTTGTCGTGACTTTCTGCAGTAGACTGGTTGTCCAGCCAAAGCTATAGGACGCAATTTGTCTTGCTATCTGAGAATTGCTATTACTCTTACCATAATGCGGAACGACAATATTGGTAGCCCGTGTGAGAAATGCATATTCTTAAAGAACCGCTCGACTACGTAACAAAAAGTTAGAATATGACCGTTCCGATATCCTGAGAGTAGGTGCGAGGTCGAGATTAAAAACGTTCATTAAGAAAAGAACGAAGCAAGTAATGTCGCTACCATTATTTGCTTCCTTAAACAAAAGCGGAAATCTCATATATAAAACCTTCACATGTCGGATAAGGCGGCATATTTAAGAGGCATTTTACTTGAGTTTATGTCCGATAAAGAATATAATTTCTTCGTCTTGTAACCATTCTTGTGATGTGAAGTGCATGATTCCTTTGTTCAAAACTCAAATTCTTGAATATTTTTTTTCTCTAACGCTGGGAATTATTTTACTTAAGCGCTCCCTCGATCACTCATCTTGACCTCATTGGAATTCATAACGCTGATGCGGACGAGAGAGATAGTAAGAGAAAGACAGGAACGAAAAGACAGAGATAGCGAAGAAGATAATGAATAATAGCGCCTAATTGGTTTTTATCTCCAACGTGACGGGTAATATATATGAAATTAGATTTTGTCCAGTGCGCGCAACTTCACGAAGCAAATATAATTTGTCATAAAGGAATTTACTCAAATGAAATGAGATTAAACAGACTACATCAGATGAAAAGTCAGTACTTCAGAGTTCGTTTAGCTTCTTTTTTTTCTCCTTTTTTTCTGACGAAACATACAAAATTCTCTAACAGAGTTAGATCTATAAACACAGACAGGATAGCAGACCGATATAGACACACATGTAAGCACACGGACGGAAACATGACAATGTATACTTTCATATAGACATACATTTAGGTAGCGGAATGTTACTTTTTAAGATTTTGTTTAAAATGGACGTCAACTTGCCAGGAAATGACCACACACCTCATTTTATGACTTTCGTCTGCGTCACATATTGAATGAGACATGCAGAATCCGGTTATGAGACGGCAGCGGAATACTGCTGACTCTCTTATAATTTCTAGGGGCGCCTTCTGCAGCATGTACATCAAGCGTAGACCTCTTTATCCACTTGTTCAATGGTTGAAATCTGTTGTAATCATCTTCCGATGGTTGGGGTCTTAAACGAATTCACGCCATCGGCACATTATTCAACTTTGATTTTCTTTTACACATCGTAACAACTTGCGTCTTAGTGGCGTTGTTGCCTTGCTTGGAGTGAAATGATTTTAAAAGTGTATGATCAACGCAAGGCATCATTGTTTGACTCAGTTATGCCATTGACTGACATGTCTCTCTCAACTGGACAAGTTTTGAAACCTCCGGCATAAGGGTGGCTATAAAACCCATATATTCTGCTTTCATTTTGTTAATTTTGTGAACGTTTGTGTGCCTTTCGCACGACCAGCTTGGCTGCATTCGTTTCCCAAAATTTCACATGATTTTTTTGTATTTAACAATGATTTATCTTACCGGCATTACTCAATTAAAACCTACCAAAACTATGCCATATAGAATATAAATCCAGAGACGAATGGCATCTCGTCTGCAGTCACTCTCTCAAAGACCTGACGTCGCTTCCCTATGTCTTTTTTACAAATACTTTCATGGTAACTGCTCCGATGAGCTGCTTTCGGTGGTTCCCAGACTTCATGAATTTAAGCGTTCTACTAGGCTTGCATCTTGCTCTCACCCTTTCACTGTCGAAACTGTCAAATGAAACTGTCAACTTCCCGTCTATGCAACTCTCTTCCTCTTCACTTCCACCCTTAAAATCTCCAACTATTCAAATGTAATGTCAATCAGCATCTATGACCCATCCCAAATCCTTCTCTTGATCCTTTCCTCTCTCGTCTCTTTACTCTTGCTCCCCTTTCTGTAACCCCTTGAGTGGCACTCCTGCCTTGCTTGAGGTGAAAGTTCCATGAACTGCAGGCCAAAATTTTGGGGTCACCCTACACTTCTTTAAAAGAAACAGCTTAAAATTATTTTTTTTTTAATATAAAATGTAAGTCCCTATAGCGTATTTCTTTTTATATTCAATCTCTCTCCCGGATCCTAGGATCCACTTACGACCAAAATGTTCAAATTTTGATTCCACTTCATAATTGGTATTATTGACGAAGATATATATATATATATATATATATATATATATATATATATATATATATATATAAGTGAACATAGAAGTCAACACTTAGAGGCGACAGTCTGTTTCATGCTATATG